CCCATAGTAGGCATCTAATATATATTATTGTGTTCCTGCTGAGATCATTTCAGGTTTAACTTGACTCTGAGATTAAGATGCCCCAGCTAAACTTAGCTTCTGTTAAACTAACTGCTTGCTTATGCAGCCCTCTCTGCATCTGCTAAGCGAGATGCCAAGATGTGAGGTTTGCCTTTAAAAGCCCTTTGGTCTAAATGGTCAGGGCTACACTTAGGTCCTGAATACCTGGATATAGTCTCAGCTGAATGGAATAAAGACTTTCAACTGGTCTTCTCCCTTTGGCCCTTAAATATAGGATTAGACTTCAAATATCCCCTTTCCCTGAAGGTAGAGGCCTCTCAGGACTAATAGGAGGGAGGGGAACTTGTACTTTTTAATAGAACTGAAAACATTGTGAATGATAAAGGAGAAAACTTAATAGGAGCTTAATCATAATAGTGGAAAGGAACCAATATTTTTAAAAAATTCCACTTCTCTTTCCTACAGCAGAATAGGACAGAAGAAAACGTAAAACTACCTACTCCAGGAATAGATGAAGAACACGGAAATACTCAGCGGGATATCAGCACATGGTGGCTGTTCCCTGACATTGCAGGGTTAAGACCTTCATGTAAGGGGCCTGGCAGACATGGAGATATTGCACCTCTCAATTTGACTATCAGAAACAATGGACTCCAAATAAATGGGAATTTCCCCGGGAATCTCAAGCTAGGAGAAGGAAAGGCCCCAACCAGGGGTAGGGGGAGAGAATGAGGATGATTCACCTCCTTAAAGAGATTTCACATCGCTCTAACAATGTATCAGGCTACCTTGCTGGAAGAGACTGAAGCAATAGAGATGTTGACAAGACTCTATTGTAGTGGACCACACCTTGGCCAGGACTGCTTAAATGTGCATCCCTGGCCCTCTGTTTTTTTTTTGTTGTTGTTGTTTTTGTTTTTTTTTGCTTTGTTTTCTGACACAAGGTCTCACTATGTAGCACTGGCTGTCCTGGAACTCAGTGTATGGACCAGGCTGGCCTCGAACTCATGGAAGTCCGCCTGCCTCTGCCTTCTGAGTGCTGGGTTAAAAGCGTGCACCACTATGGCTAGCTACTGATCCTCTATTTAAACTTTAATCTCACTTCAGGAACCCAAAGATGGATGGACTTTCAGGGTTCACCGGATCTATTTGTCCCTCTTCCCAATTTGGCCAAACCGGCTAAATCTTTTTTTTTTTTTTTGATTTGACTCTTGATATTGTCTTTTTGAGGATTGGTAGCTGAATCTGGCTTGGAACAGTCTTTGACCCCCAAGTTCAATAACACCTAGGCATGGAGAGGTGCAAGAGGGTAGGTTAAATGGGAAGAAAAGTCTGGGGTGTAGCTCATGGTGTACTTGCCAAGCAAATGTAAGGCCATAGGTTAAACTGCAAGCACCTATGATATCGGTGCTGGAACAAGAACTCGTATCTAGAAGTTTCTGGTGTATAATACTTGGTTGTATTACTTAATATATATGCTGTGCCTGAAGTACTGGACTCTCCATTACTCCAGGTGATGATCAAACCATTTCTTAGGGTGAACCCCACACTTCTATGGCACAGTTCTTAGCTCGAGACTGCCAGCATCCCAGCACTGTATGAGGCACGGAGACCGACAGAATGAGAAGAGTTCCTCCTTTGATGAAATCCACACTATGATAGTAAGGAGACATCACCACCAGTGTCAAAATATCATGGATGGCAAAGCGTGATGGGGCCAGACAGGGCAGAGGCTCTTCCATCTTGTATTCTTGCTGAGACCATTTCAAGTTTAACTAGAATTTGATCTCCTTGATGGAGCAGTCCAAGGAACACTATCCAACTCTATTCTAGGAATCGAACCCAAGGATGCCCTAACTAACTTAGCTTCTGTTAACCGGCCTGCATGTACAGAACCCTCCAGGTGACCACTGGTGGTGGTGGTTTGCTTTCTTTTTTCACTCCATACTCTTTACTCTTTTGACTCTTTGGACTTTTGGGGGGACCTGCCACCCAGGTCCCAAATAAATCACATACAAGTTTTATTCTTTCTTATAAATGCACGCCCTTAGCTTGGCTTGTTTCTTGCCAGCTGTTCTTAAATTATCCCATCTACCTTTTGCCCCTGGACTTCTACCTTCTCTCACTTCTGTAATCTTACTTTCACTCTTACGCCGGGGCTAGCTGTGTGACTGGACGGCTGCCCCTAGCGTCCTCCTCTCCTTGTTCTCTCTTGCTCCTTCCTCTTTCTAGATTTCTCCTGTTTATACTCCCTGCCTGCCAGCCCTTCCCATCCTTTCTCCTGCCTCACTGTTGGTGGTTCAGCTTTCTAAAGACCCTCAGGTGTTTTAGACAGGCAAAGATTACAGCTTCACAGAGTTAAACAAATGCAACATAAAAGAATGCAACACATCTTTGTGTCAAACAAATGTTCCACAGCGTAAACAAATGTAACACACCTTAAAATAACATTCCACAACAAACCTCTAGCCTTAGCTACTGTCAAATTACTTGCTTACATGAAATTGCCTCCCCCACCGCCACCCCTACCCCAAGGGAAATGCCAGAGTTTCTGACTTCAAAAACCCTGTGCTCTGAACACTTGGTGCTACACCTCTGTCTGCAATACCTGAGTGTAGTCCCAACCAGCTGGAATAAAGACTCAATTGTCTCTAAACAGTGTCTGATGGTCATCTACGGTGGGCTCCCTGAACATTGGCACTGTGCAAAAGGTGGGAACAACCAGTTCTGTCTGGTGAATAACAGAGTCTCCAAGAAGAGACATTCTTGCTACATACTGTTTTAATGTTTTATTCACACACTCATGTGTATGAATATTTTGCCTGCATGTGTGTGTGTGCTCAGTGCGCTTGGCTAGTGCCTGCAGAACAACATATTCCTAGGAACTGGAGTTACAGATAGTTGTGAATAGCCATGTGGCTGATGAGGATTGTACCCAGATCCTTTGACCCATCTTTCTAGCCCCAAGATTGTGTGTGTGTGTGTGTGTGTGTGTGTGCGTGTGCGTGCGCGCGCGTGTGTGTGCAGGTGATCATGGAGTGCAGAAGACTGGATTGTCTGGAGCTGGAGTTACAGGCAGTTATGAGCCACCCATGGTGGCAGGATTGAAAACTGGGTTCTCGGTGGGGACAGTGGGTACTCTTAACACCTGAGCCATTGTGGGGAGCCGTTCCCACATACTCCATTGCAAGTTGATGCTGACCATCAGCACCACCACTGTAATCAAGCCAGTGTGCATGTGCATGGTAAATGACAGTTTACCTTGTCAAGCCAGTGCACATGCACATAGTAACTTTCCATCCCTTGCTCTCTGCCTCTCCCGTGGCGTCATAGGGTTTGACAGGCTGCAGCCAATCAGAGTTTGACACGTCCGAGGCGAGGACTGTTAAGCTATATAAGGGCCGGGTTTTCGACCCTTGAGGTCTTCGCTCTGTAAGCTTATGCTCTCCCTCTCAAGACGCATAAAGCTTTTCTGCAGAAGGATCCTGAATGTGCCGCGTCGTTCTTGCTGGTGAGACGGTAGCGCGGGACAAGCCATCTCTCCAGCTCCTTGCTATTTTTTTTTAACTCAATGTTTGCTTTTCTTCCATAATAATAAAAAAAAAGAGTTACAGAAAAAAATAGAATTGATTTTTTTTTCTTCAGGATAAGAACATCATGGAAAAGTAAAAGTTCTGAGAAATCAAATTTGTTCGTTCGATAGCTAAGGTGTATTTCATTTCCTCCACCTCAAGCAGGCTAGTGGGAAACCAGGTGATAAATTGCAGCATAATGGGGAAAGAAGGGGTTCAGGGCGATGTAGAAGCATGGTAGCTTCTCATCTTGGAACATGCTGCAATTTAGTTGGGCCAGGCCCACAGTTAAGTATTGTCTTGTGTTCTTATGTATTCTGAAACCTGCAATGTGATGAGATGTATGGACGAACTGAAAAGTCCCCCAGGGACGTACGCAGCCTTGTGATTGCATCACAAATCTAATGCAGGTGTCCGAGAGGCTCACCTACACTATAGCTGCATTTTCCACACCACTTCCACCCCCTTGACAGCGATTTCTACGATTTTCTTTGTTAAGAGTTAAGAGAGGGGGAATAAATCTAATATAGCAGACACAGCAGGAGTTAAAGAAATAACTCAGTATTCTTGGCTCCCCCCCCCCCCCCCCCCCCCGCATCTACTTCCATGCTCACCCTGAATCCATAAAAAACAAGACAAGGAAAGAAGCCACACCGGAGAAAGTGCTGGGAAGGAACCATTGACCTCAGGCTTAATCGTAAGACCCCAAGGAATCTGTCATTCATACATGAAACAGGGTCGTAGATTAGAGAGAAGCTAAAGCAACCTGTTCGGGTCTGCAATGCACCAAACAAAGGGGAAAGTCATCTGTGCCCTGCGCAAGCGCACTGCTGAGCCTCAGCTAGGCCTTGCCTAGAGCAATGAAAGTTCCAGCCTCAACGTCCAAGAAGGCGCCGTTGGCGCCTCCATTTTTCTTCCTTCCTGGTGGCTCTTCAGGATCTTCAATGGCTCGCACCGTGCCAGGCCCGCAGCGCTCCATCCACTGCAGGAAACCCCGAAAGGAAGTGACCTCCTGGCCCTGCCCTCCTCGTGGATCTCAGTCAGTCCCTCCCACTGAGCATGCCCGAGTCAAAGCGTCCTGGAAAGAAGGAGGCGGCAGTCTAATCCTGCCTCCCCCAGTCTTGCTGGCGGTCCCCGGGTGTCCCCTGTGCCAGGAGGCTACAGTCCAGGCAGCGTTGAGGTCTCCCGCGCCGGAAAGGCGAGCAGCCACGCGCTGCCAGGCTGCGAGGCGCGGTGGGCGGTTGGCCGGCCGCCGGCTGCTACCAGTCGCGAGTCCCCTTGGCCCTGCGCTAGGCGCCTGGCCGAAGGGTCGCCTCTCCAGGAGTCCTTTCCCTTGCGTCGGTGGCCCGGCCTGGCTAGCTGGGACTGTCTCCGGAAGCGCGGGGCAGCTCTACGCCAGCCGCAGACATGAGTTCGACTCCAGGGTTGCCCACTCCGGGGGCCTCCCTGGCCCTGCGGGTGTCCTTCGTGGACGTGCATCCCGAGGTGATCCCGGTGCAGCTTTGGGGATTGGTGGGCCAGCGGCGGGAAGAGTACGTGCGGCTGAGCCGGGAGATCCAGGAAGCCGCAGCCACGCGAGGCCCGTGGGCTCTGGGTGGGGCCTCGGCATCGCCGGGAGAGCTGTGCCTGGTGCAGGTGGGACTTATGTGGCACCGCTGTCGCGTGGTCAGCCGCCAGGCGCAGGACAGCCGGGTCTTCCTGCTGGATGAGGGCCGCACCATTACGGCTGGCGCGGGCTCGCTGGCACCGGGGCGCAGCGAGTTCTTCCACCTGCCCTCGGAGGTGCTGGGCTGTGTGCTGGCCGGCCTGGTGCCCACGGGCGGCGGTGGCACCGGCGGTGGCGAACCCCAGCACTGGTCCCCCAGTGCCGTGGACTTCCTTAGCAACCTGCAGGGTAAGGAGGTGCATGGACGGGTCCTGGACGTGCTGCTCCTCCATCGCTTGGTGCTGCTGGAGGTGCCCGCTGTGTCTCAGCAGATGGAGGAGCTGGGCCTGGCCAGGCACGTGCCGGACAGTCTCTTCTGCTCGCTGCTCAAACGCTACCTGACTGCAGCTGGGTTGGGCAGCTCTGGAGCTCCAGTTCTCCCTCGAGCCGCCCCCAAACAAGAGCATCCTGGCTTGGATTACTTCTATCCCCAACTGCAGCTGGGAGTGACAGAGCCTGTGGTTGTAACCCAAGTGTGCCATCCCCACCGCATTCACTGCCAACTTCGGAGTCTGTCGCAGGAGATCCACCGCCTCTCAGAGAGCATGGCTCAGGTATATCGGGCGCCCACAGGGACAGAGAATGAGGATTCGGGCAGTGCCACCTGGGAGGAGAGGGAGGAGAGCCCAGACAAGCCGGGGTCTCCATGTGCCTCCTGTGGCTTAGACGGACAGTGGTACCGGGCTCTCTTGCTTGAGACTTTCAGGCCTCAGCGCTGTGCCCAGGTGCTTCACGTCGATTACGGCAGAAAAGAGCTAGTGAGCTGCAGCAGCCTTCGCTACTTGCTGCCCGAGTATTTTCGAATGCCCGTGGTGACTTACCCTTGTGCTCTGTATGGGCTCTGGGACTGTGGGAGAGGCTGGTCCAGGTCCCAAGTAGGTGACTTGAAAGCTCTGATCCTGGGCCAGGCAGTGAATGCGAAGATTGAATTTTACTGCTCCTTCGAGCACATGTATTATGTCACCCTGTACGGGGAAGACGGAATTAACCTCAACAGTGTGTTCGGCGTACAGTCCTGTTGCCTGGCTGACCGATTTCTTCAGAGCCAGGGGATAGAGGAGGAAGAGGAGGAGGAAGCGGAGATGGCACTTCAGTCTCAGTCCCCTGCCGAGGAGATGGAGGAGGAAGTTTCCCTCCCTTCCTTAAGACACATCAGGCTGAAGATGAACTCCTTCTATGACGCCCAGGTGGAGTTTGTCAAGAGCCCTTCTGAGTTCTGGATTCGTCTGAGAAAGCACAAGAGCACCTTCAGCAAGTTGCTGAAGAGGATGTGCAGCTTCTATTCGTCGGCTAGTAAGCTGGACGGGGTGGTTCTGAAGCCTGAGCCAGATGACCTGTGCTGCGTCAAGTGGAAAGAAAACGGCTACTACCGCGCCATGGTCACCCGGCTAATCAGCAAGAGTGTGGAGGTGTTCTTGGTAGACAGGGGTAATTCGGAGACCATGGACTGGGGTGACGTGAGGATGTTGCTCCCCCAGTTTAGGCAGCTGCCAATATTGGCTCTGAAGTGCTCCTTGGCTGACATCTGGCCTTTGGGGAAAAGTTGGAGCCAGGAGGCGATCTCATTTTTTAAAAAGACAGTGCTCCACAAAGAATTAGTGGTCCACATTCTTGATAAGCAGAATCATCAGTATGTCATAGAGATTCTTGATGAATCCAGAACCGGGGAGGAAAACATCAGCAAAGTCATCGCTCAAGCTGGATACGCCAAGTACCAGGAGTTTGAAACGAAAGGAAACGCCAGTGCCGACTCCCCGGGGCATGGTTCAAGTCATTTTATTGCAGAGACCAACAAAATATCTTCTGCCAAAAATGTCGAAGGAGAACAGAAAGCCAAGAAAGACAACAAACCCGTATCTCTTTCTGAAGCTTTGACCGACACAGTAAGCCTTTCGAATGTTCTCACCGCACAGACTGGACAGGACAGAGAGAAGGTAACAACCGATTATTCTCTTTTTACGCTAAATTACCTGAAAACGATGCCAGACTGCTGTGGTAAAGGGGAGCTGGAAGTGGGCAGTACTGTTGAAGTGAAGGTGTCTCACATCGAAACCCCTGGCTCCTTCTGGTGTCAGCTGATGAGGAACGCGCAGGGATTCCAAACCCTGATGTGTGATATTGAGGACTATTGCAAAAGCGATCCGGCTCCCTACGAGGGGGACACACGTGCTTGTCTGGCAATCCGAACAGCAAATGGAAGATGGTCCAGAGCTGTGATTAGTGGTGCACCGTCTCTGGAGCACGTCAGGGTGGTGTTTGTAGACTACGGAGACAAAGACGTGATATCCGTGAGGAACATACTCTCCGTTAGTGACGCCTTTCTCAAGGTCAGAGCTCAGGCATTTCGGTGCAGTCTTTACAATTTAATTCAGCCGACTGGCGACAACCCCTTTGTTTGGGATGAAAAGGCGGTGCAGGCTTTTAGTGGGTTTATAGATGATGCTTGGCAGAATAACTTGGAATTAAAATGCACACTCTTTGCTTTGGCATCGAGGCACGATGAAGAGCGGTTCAGCGTAGTGGACTTGCTAACACCTTTTCAGAGTGCCTGCCATTTTTTAGTGGAAAAGAGACTTGCTAGGCCAGTGAAACTTCAGAAGCCTCTGGAGCCCTCTGTTCAGCTGCATTCCTACTACTATTCTACACATGACCTAAAAATCGGAAGTGAAGAATTAGTGTACGTGACACATGTGGAGGACCCTTGGACATTTTATTGCCAACTCGCAAGAAATACGAATATTCTAGAACAATTATCATACAACATTATGCAGCTAAGTAAAGCCTTGCTGGATGTAAAGGCATCCCCCTTGGTCCCTGGAACTTTGTGCCTTGCCAAATATACCGATGGTAACTGGTACAGGGGAGTAATTGAAAAAGAGCCAAACAAAATCTTCTTCGTTGATTTTGGCAACACTTATGCAGCAAGTGACCATCTGCTCCCGATCCCTCGAGATGCCTACGATGTTCTGCTCTTACCCATGCAAGCCATTAAATGTTCATTATCGGACATTCCTACTCATATCCCAGAAGAGGTTACAGCGTGGTTTCAGGAGACGGTTTTAGATAAGTCGTTGAAGGCTTTGGTCGTCGCCAAAGACCCAGATGGACGCCTGATTATAGAGCTCTATGATGAAAGCGTCCAAATTAACGCCAGCGTTAACGAGAAGCTAGGGCTCCTTGGTTACCGAAACAGCACAAGAAAAAATGACAGAGAGAATGAAATAATCCTCTGTGTGACCGAAACCCCTGAAGACAGAAGTGAGACCATGAAGTCATCCCCTACAGAGTATCTGAGTAAGCCGGGAGAGAGCAGGTCGCGCAGTAGAGAGAGAATGGGCGAATCGTGCAAACCCAAGCTCAGTCCAGCAGGCAAGGAACTCAGATATTTACAAGGCTTCTCAAAGGCCAATCTAGTCACCTATCAGGACTCTATGGGAAACAGAAATGATGGAGGGTTTCCATTAGCGAGGGAAAAGAAAGAAGATATATTTGGCAACTCACCCACAAGTGCTCCCAAACCAGACTCCACCCTTCCTGAGGGAAGAATGGGGGAACCGGGCAGCAAAGACCTGCCTCCAAAGTTCTGTGAGTTCCCACAAAAGACAATAGCGCCTGGTTTAAAGACCTCTGTGTATGTCTCGCACATTAATGACCCTTCAGATTTTTACATCCAGCTGATGGAAGATGAAGCCGAGATCAATCGTCTTTCAGAGAGATTAAATGATGTCAGGACAAGGCCCCCGTGTCACACAGGCCCGCCTTGGCAAAGTGGGGATGTGATATGTGCCATTTTCTCAGAAGATAACTTGTGGTACCGAGCAGTGGTCCTGGAACAACAACCCAATGACCTTCTCTCCGTACAGTTTATAGATTATGGCAACATGTCTGTGGTCCACACTAATAAAACGGGTAAGCTTGGCCCCATCGATGCTGTGATCCCAGCACTGTGCCTCCATTGCTCCCTAAGGGGGCTTTTGGTACCCGACATGGTGAGCTGTAAGGAGATGGTGAACTACTTTTCCCAAAGGACGGATGAGGTTCAGATAAGATGTGAATTTGTTAAATTCCAAGGCACCTGGGAAGTGATTCTTGCGGATGAGCATGGAATCATAGCTGAAGATATGATTAACAGGTTTCCGTTCAAGGAAAAATCTCAAATGGGACTTACTACCCAAATCATGAAAGGGGACTGTGCAAAGTCCACTGCCAAACCTAGCATTGACACGTCAGTGTTTCTTAACTGGTATAATCCCACAGCCAAGTCGGTAAGAGCCTATGCCACCGTGATAGACGGACCCGAATACTTTTGGTGTCAGTTTGCTGATTCTGAGAAGCTGCAGTATTTAGAAACCGAGGTTCAGAGTGCTGCGAAGCAGCTGGCGGACCAGAAAAGCTGTCTCCAGTGTCCCCAAATCGGAGACCCATGTATCGTGAGGTACAGAGAAGATGGACATTATTACAGAGCCCTCATCACTAACATATGTGAAGATCACCTTGTATCCGTCAGGCTTGTGGATTTCGGGAACATGGAAGACTGCGTGGACCCGAAAGCACTGTGGAACGTCTCGTCTGAGCTTCTATCAGTCCCCATGCAAGCCTTCCCGTGCTGCCTCTCGGGATTCACCGTCTCTGGCGGGGTGTGCCCTCAAGAGGGAAATGATTATTTTTATGAGATAGTGACAGAAGATGTGTTGGAGATAACAATATTGGATATCAGAAGGGATGTTTGTGCCATCCCCTTAGCAATTGTGGAGCTGAAAAGCAAGGGCGAAAGCATTAATGAAAAGATGAAGAAATATGCTAAGATGGGCATTCCCAAGAATGACCTGTACTATGAGAAGCATGGCCCAGACAGAAAGGGAGGCTTTGGGCCCACCAGTCCTGACCTTGACCTTAAGAAACCAGGTCATAAAATGGCACCCGAGAAGACATTATATGTGGAAGGCAGGGCAGGTGAGTTCTCCGAGAGAATTGAAAAGGATTTAAACATTGAAACCAAGCCAAGTAAATTCTACGATTGTAGCACCCATAATATTTTCGAAGCTCTGGAGAACTCACGCCAAGGGAAAATGGGTTCCGAGAGGCTGGAAGGTAGCTTGGATTACCATTTTGTGGACAGAGCCAGGTTTGAAGACAGCTACCACGTTTCAGGATTTAACCCAATAATGTCCCACGCGAGTGAGACGAAGGAGTTAGCGGAACTGAATTCCCTGGAAGTACCGCTCTCCCTGGATGAGGACTGCAAAGAATTCTTAGAATTGGAATCCTTTGAGTTACAGCACTCTCCCATAGGGGAGGAAGAGAAGGAAGAGCTAGGACTGGGGTCTCCGGGGGCACCGCTGTCCCCAGGCTGTGAAGCAGGAGCCGCTCTAGAGCCATTTATGGTACAACTTCCCCTGGACTGTGAGGTGGAGAAGCAGCTAGAACTGGAACTCCCCACGCCCCAGCTCTCTTTGGAGGACAGTATAAGTCCTTTATCGGCAACTGTCAGTCAGGACATCCAGAAGTCCAGGTGTGCTGAGGATGAGAGAAAATCTAGCTGTGTGGCCTCTTCTGATGGCGGCCAGAGCATGCTGCCACCCCACCACCACGAGGAGAGCAGCGATTCCCCCACACACGAGGAAATGAACATATTCGAAGAGGAGTCTCCACAATTTGAAAACAGAGATATCACGGCTGCCTTGGCCCCTCTGTTCTCCGAGGGAGACGCCAGAGACGGGAGTAAGTGCGGGAGCGCTGTACCAGGTGTGTTGATCTCTTTCAACTTGGAATCTTTCCATGGTTCTTGTTTGTTCTCAAAACATGGAGGATAGCTATTACATGAGTTACTTAGAATTTTTAAGAAATGTTAAATTCAAGTAATGTACTCAGATTTGCATTTTGCTTGTCTGGATTTTAGAGAGAGAGTCTCTGTCTGTACACCAGACTAACCGCAAACTCCTGCGCCTTCTGGCTCAGCCTCTGGGTGTGGGGATGACATGTCTGCACCACTGTGCCTCAGGAGGAAGGACATTTTTAAGCATGGAAAACACAGTTGTAAAATCAGTGTGAAATGACAAATTGCTGAATGAAATGACAGGATTCTAGGTTTAAAACTAAAATGACTAAGAGGCTAGGAGTTTGGCAGTCAAGAATATTTATTGCTTTTGCAGAGGCCCCAGGTTTGGTTCCCAGCATCCACCTGGAGGCTCATACCATATTTATCTCTAGTTCTAGGGGATCTGACCCTGCTTTGTGACCTCCACATGCTCCTGCATGCACACACTGAGGCCCTTACACACAAAATAAATACTTTAGAACCTGTGTCTAAAAAAGGACAATCCCAAGTGAACTGTAAGGAATTAGATGTTAAAATCAAGACAGTAAACGTCTTGCTAAGTTTTAAAAACATGGCCTTCCTTTAGTCAAGGATGCCTTTAAATAAATTCACAATGGAAGTCACTTTGCCTGTTACTTTTTTCCTGGACCTAACTGTATCATCTGTTGAGTCTGCCATTCATGTAGAAACCTTTAAACAAAAATTAGATTTAATTTAATCAAGAAAAGCCAACAGTCGGGTGAAATCTCAGAGTGCAATGGATAAATATTAACTGCCTTACTTGCTGTTTTCTTTGCTTCTTAAAAAGATTTTAAGAAAACAACAAAACTCCCACAGTTATTATTAGTTTAAATAATAAGCGCAATCTTCCAGAAAGCCAGGACACATTGTTCACTGCTGGGCCATCTCTCTAGTCCCAGGAAAATAACAACAAAACAGTGAAAGTCACATTAAATGGTTTCCCCTCTTTACTTTCCGTGATCAGCCTTGTGCTTGTCAAATATCTATATTTATATTGTTAAATTTGAACCATGATACAAAAATAGAAAAAGTAACAGTTTAAGGAGAATGAAAACCACAGATTCTTACTACCAAGAAATCCTCAGTGTTGACACCATGGTGCAGTCTCCTCTGGCCGTGTCTTAGTCCCTGTCGCAAACAGTTTACAAGTTAGACATCTTATACTGTCATCCAGGGCTGAAGCCTGTGCATTAAGCCCTGAAAGCCCATACAGGGGTAGGCAGCTGGCTCATGGGTCAGTAGTACACAGTGCTCTTGCAGAAGACTCGAGCTCATTACTACCTGTAACTCTAGGTCCAAGAGATCCCTCTTCTGGCCTTTGGGTACCCACACGTGTGCACATATGCACACCCAGATTCAAATATAATTGAAAATCAAATTGTTTAAAAGATGTTCAGAATGGGTGAGAATCTTCGCCAGCTGTATTTCATACAGATGGCTAACATTTGAAATATACAAAGATCTTTCAAAATTAAACATTTAAAACCCACAAAATTCTCTGATCAATAATTTGACCAATTGACTGAGTAGACAATTCTCAAAAGAAGAGACGCGAAATATTTTAACACATTTAACGTCCTTGACCATCATGAAAACAGGCAAATTAAAAGTACTTTGAAATTCCTCGTCCCAGGGCTGTCATCAGGAAAACGAATGACAGCAAATGTTGACCCAGATGAGATGAATGAGGAGCCTTTATGCGCCACTAGTGGGTGTAGAAACTGGTATAGCCACCGTAAAAATTGGTAAGGAGACTTCTCAAAAAGTTAAAAATTGAACTGTAATAAATACATCCATCCCTGGGTATGTATCCAAAGGGCTCCTAAGTCCTCCCAGGTGGTCTTGCTGCCTTGATTAGAGTTTCATGATAAAACACCTTGACCAAAAGCAACTTGGGGAGGGAAGTGTTTGCTTTGTTTTCTAGCTTGTAGTCCCTCAGCCAGGCCAGTCATGGCCGGAATCTCCAGCCAGGAGCTGGTACAGACGCCACAGATGGGTGCTGCTCCCTGGCTTACTCCCTATGGCTCGCTCACCACCAACAATGGGATGGGCCCATTGTGACGTCATCAGTCATGAGAATGCCGCACAGGCCATTCTTAGGGAGTCATTGTCTCAGCTCAGAGCCCCTCTTACTCTACATTACTCTAGCTTGTGTTGACATAAAACCAGCCAGCACACTTGCTTATCCGTGTTATTGCTGCATCACCCACAAAGAGCTGTGAATGAATCATCTGGATGTCCATCAGCAGATGATTCAACAACAAAGATGTGGTAAATATACTCCGCAGAATCTTATTTAGCCACAAATAAAAGTGAAATCATGGCATTTGCAGAAAATTGGATGGAACTGGAGATCATTATGTTAGCCATATAGCCCAGACTGGGAAGAAAAATACCTTGTATTCTTTTTTTCACATGCATATCCAAGACTTTAGTGTTCATAGATGTGTATATGGTAGGGTATAGGCCATGAAGCTGGGACACTTTCACTGATAGGGACAGTACCAGCTTTTAGTAGTAATCTTAAGTAGTTAGAGGTCAAATTTAATGATGGTTTTGTGGACATAGTTAATATTATATAGAGTTGGGGCCCCATATACGTACACATGCACACATACATGTATTATTATATATATTATATATAATATTGTATATTATATAATCGAGGAAAGAGATGTTTAGAAAATCTCCCAACATATGCCTTGCATGTAACTGATTAAACACGGACGGTAAACTTAGACTAGGAAAGCGCTTCTCTTGCATGTCTCACACTAAGGTGCTAGGCTAAGCACACTGAGTCTTCCTGTATTCAATTTAGCAGATCAGCTACAGAACACCTACACTCTGAAAGGCTTCTCTGTTGGATCAAAGTGCGTCGTGTGGTCAAGCCTAAAGAACACGTGGTCTAAATGTGAGATTCTGGAACTAGCCGAAGAAGGAACAAGGGTAAGGGAAGGTGAAGGACTTTATTTCGAGCGGCACGTGCTGTAAGAGCTTTACCGATGTCCCCAGACTGTCTAAGATCCCAGGGCTATTCGTTTATCCCTGCTCATTTCTCCTGGCACCTTGATGAAGTTTGTGAGAATCAAATCTACCTCACTTTTGAATGGAAACACTGGCATTTAGGGATTTAGAGTTTGTTGTGGTATTATTTTGTTTTGTTCTCTGCAATCTGGAAAGCCAGAGAGTCTAAAATTGCTGGCCTCTTCTTTAAATTCCTGGGCCTTGCCTTGACTTACCAAGTCTGAATTTCTGTAGCTGGGGATTCAAGAATATACATTTTTTTACACCATTAAGACTGAGAGATGGCTTAGGGACTAAGAGCATTTATGCTCTTGTAGAGGAACCTAGCTGGGTTCCCACAACTCCTGTGAGGCAGCTCACGACCACCTGTAACTCCAGTGCCACTGAAACAAGCGCCCTCTTCTGCCTGTATGTTAGCCATACGTCCCAAAAGAAAAATGCCTTGTATTCTTTTTTTCACTTGCATATCCAAGACCTTAATGAATTGGCCCTGCATGTTCGTGGTGCGTATAAAGACATGCAGACACACACACACACAAATAAACAAATCTTAAAATAGGAGAACCACTGTGTAGAATGTACATGAATTTCCTTAAACATTAAGCAGGCAACACTCTGCTGAGTGTTTATCCCGTTTGTTTTTTGAGACAGGATTTCTCTGTGTAGCCCTGGCTGGCCTCCAGTTCGGGCATTTGCCTGCCTCTGCCTCCAAAGCGCTAGGATTCAAGGTGGGCACCACCACGTCTGGCTCACCACGTAATTAATCCCAAATTATCTTTAAATATTTCCTTTACCCATTTCCTCTTCTGAGAAACACTCTGCCGTTACTGTGTAGATTTCCCTATAGCTTCAAACTCTACTCCCCCCAAAAAGTTGTATATCTGAGTGTTTGAGCATGCAGAAGCAGACTTTGGGGGGCAGAACTGTATGTACTGCGTTCTATTGTCTTTGCCTGACTGTAGATCTTTTTCCATTATATTTGGAACACTTGAGGTCTAAATTTTAATTATTTTTATCTCTTAATATACATATTCAACGTGTTTATACTAGTGCATTTAAAATAGTGGGTAAATTTTAATATAACCATTTTCTTTTCTTTTGAGGCAATGTCTCATGTTACCCAGGTTGGTCTGAAACTATATGTAGCAAGGGGTTTCCTTGAACATCTAAGTCCCCTGTCTCTACCTCTTGAGCATGACAGGCATGCATCTGCATCGTTACCCCCTGGGGACTGAGTCTAGAGCTCTGCATGCTAGGCAAGCCCCCTACCAACAAGGCTATACTCCCAGCTGCTGATGAAATTGTTTTCACTCTTACAGTTTGTGGAGTTTGCCTGGTTTTGTTACTAAGTGGTCTCTTTCCTTTTGTAGGTTTTGAACCTTTCCAATGGCGAGGAGGAGACAGTAAGCCCCGAGAATGTCTGGAATGGTATCCCCAAGGTAGATAAGAACCCCTCTGAGGTATGACTGTGTAAGCATTAACTAATGCAAGCATTGTTATTCATTTTTCAAGACAGTTGGACAAGCACTTTTCAAAGCCCCGGTGTTAGGAAAAATGAAGGAGAAAAAAAAAACTATCAACAACAGTTGAGAACATCAGTGCCAAATGTTTCTGGGATTGGAGGTCACGTATCACTTGGGGCAACTAAGCATTCATGGTTTACTCCTTGAATTTTCACTTTGAGGTTAAAGAATGAAAAAGAAAATGAGCCAGGTGGTGGTGTCCATGCCTTTAATCCCAGCACTGGGAAGGCAGAGGCAGGAGAATCTCTGAGTTTGAGCCCAGCCTGGTCTACAGAGTGAGTTCTAGAATAGCGAGGACTACACAGAGAAACCTTGTCTCACAAAAACAAAGGGAGGGAGGGGGGAGGGCGGGACAGAAGGAGGGAAGAAAGAAAGAAAAAGAGAGGAAGAAAGAGAATGGTATTGATGTCTCATATGGTGTATTTTTTTTTGTTACAAAAAATACAAAATTTAAAACGAAGTTGCTGGAGGTAGCTCAGAGCTAAGGTCATCTGTTGCTTTGCAGAGGACCTGAGTTGGGCTTGCAGCTCCCAGGTTGGGCAGCTCCAGAGGATCTGACGCCCTCTGCTGGCCCCAAGGACACCTGAGCTCATCCTGCACATACCCACACAGACACACCCATACACATAAACAAAAGAACTGTTTTTAAAAGTTAAATATGAAAAGGTAGCAGCCTCTGCAGTCTGAGAAGCCAAACAGGCTGGAGCTTTGGTTCCCAGCACCATTTACTGCTCACACTGAATTTCAAGCTTCTTTCACACACACGACAAATGCTGCAGCCTGGGGCGTCATAGTCTGTGAGGACTATAATGGTGGGTGATTTCCACAGCCTTCGGGATGTGTCCCTGGGTGGGGAAGTTTGTGTGTTTGGATGGCTGCATTTGAATTCTCTGCAATGCCTGGTCATCACTTCACCTCTGTCGACTGGCTTTTCCCTGGAGAAATAGTTTAAGTTTCCCTACTTCCTGGTGAGCTGGGTCATTCTGGGTAATGTACTGAGCATTCCGAATCTATTAAGACCCGGGTCCTGTACACATCCCCTGGAGAAGGCTGAGGGTTTTGTACTTTCAGTAGTTGGTTGACAGAGGTTCCTGCTGTAATCGCCATCTGTCTATGGCTCATGGTTCCCATGTCCGTTCAGTTTTCAAGGCCTTTGCCTTGTTGCTCAGGTGTACTCACAGTACTTCAGCTACTGTGGGGGTCATTCTGGAACTTACACAGTGGTAGACAGGTATGAGAACCTCCCAGGCTACTGTGGACGAGCACAGCGCAGGGCTGTTCTGAAACTTAGCCGTAGCTCATAGTTGGTGCTAGGGCTAACAAAGCATGTGCTTTCTCACCCCTGAGAATTCCTCTGTGTTGTATCACCTTTTGGATGCGGAGGGCACACATGCGTGTGTATGCATGTGGAGGGCAGAGGTCAACCTCATGTTCCCCAGGAGCCATCCCCCCTGATGGGTTTGGTTTCCAGACAGGGTCTCTGACTGGGAACTGGGGCTCGCTCTTTGGTTTGGCTGTGTTGACTGGACAGCAAGCTTCAGATTGCTGCCTATCTGTGCCACTGTCTACAAGCATGCTCTGCCATACCCTGCTTTTTATATGAATGCTGTTGATGGAACTCAGGGTCATAGTGTCTTTCTCTGTCCCTCTAGCCAGTTCCCAATCACTACACAGAGACTTATTGAGACAGCTCAGCCAATAGCTTAGGCTTATTTCTAACTAGTTCCTGGCTTGTTAGCTCATCTCCTACATGGCATGGTTCCTCTGTGTCTTCTCATGACTCCATCCTTCTTCCCAGAATCCTCTATGCCGGGAAACCCTAGCTAGCTATTGGCCATTCAGCTTTTTATTAAGTCAACCATAGTGACATAATCGTACACAGGCCGACTCTCAATACAAAGGTAATACAGGTGGGGATGAGGAGTAAATTGCCCACCTCCCATGTCCCAGTTTTCTTGTCATTGTCTGCCCGGTATTTGCCTGTTTTCGTTGTGTCCAAAAAGGACAACTGTCATGAGTAGAAGAGAGAGGTTAGGGAGCCAGCTCACTCCATACTGGCTGCACTCACTCCAGAAGGCTGGAAGCAAGGTATGACATACAGGGCCTGCAGCATCTTCAGACTGCGTGGTTGCTAACGTGGTGAGCTTTGCTCTTTACCCCCTTTGTGGACCACAGCAGCCGGTTACAGTTTTACTCCCATTCTTTCCCCTTCTGCTTTGCTCTCACTGTGGATTTTGCAGAGTCCACACCCAAACATAGGTATGTAGAACTCTAGTTGGATAAAATGCCTGTAGCAGCCAAAGCAGAGCGGGAGGACCTACTTAGGAATACCTGAATGGGACATTCATAGAAACAATTGCTGAAGGCCTTAACTAAGCCAATCAGCAGATACTGAGAAACGACTTAGGAGAAAAGTGGCACCATTGTTTGATTTGGTTACTGATGGGACTTCAATGACCCTCTCTCTGAAGTGGGAAAACTCAGATAACACCCACTTACACGAGTGTTATGAGTTATCTGTGCATTAATTTTTGACACATGAAGCCATTCGTGTTTAGGTGTCTTTCTGATTTCTTTTAAGAATTTTTGTCTGACTTAGTTTTACCACAGAATGTCTTACCAGTAAGCTTCCCTTGCACATAATGCTAGTAGTTATTGAAGGGACCAGAATCATTAATAACTCGAGTATCACCATAAATGGAAGCTATTTGAAGAGTGATGGCCCATTTCCCATTTTTTTCCAAAGCTTGGCTTATAATTTTTCTTTTTTTTTTCAGTTTATTGAGAGTTTCAGGCAATGTGTTTTGATCATATTCACCTCCCCTCCCCTAGCTCTTTCCAGTCCACTCCCCTCCCCCACCCACCCAATCTTGAACCCCCTTCCCCAGCTCTTCCCAGATTCACTCCCCTCTCCCACCAACCCAACTTTGAACCCCTCCTTCCCCAGCTCTTTCCAGATTCACTCCCCTCCCCTCAACCTTGAATCCTTTGTTTTCTACCCTTTGAGATGAATTTGTGCTGCCCAGGCTTTGAGTGTGCAGTTTTGCACTGGGGCAGAATTGACTTAGCAGACCATTGGCTCCAGAGAAAATTGTCGCCTCTTCTCCCAGTTGCCAGTGTCCCCATGGCTAGGGGTGGGATTTAAGGCTCAACACCCATCTCTGTGCTGGGCTTGGTCAAACTTGGGTTTGCGTGGGACTTGTGCGTGCTGTCTTAAGATTCTGTGTGCGCAGCTGCCCTGCTGTGTTGAGAACACACATGTGATCAAGTATTGCCCCTGACTCTTACTGCTCCCTTCTGCAATGACCTGAGTTTGGAGTGCAGCGGGTACAGTGTGAATGTTCCCGTTAGGGCCAAGTACACTGCATCTTCCCAGGCTGACCTTGAGCTCCCTATGTGGAGGTTGACCTTGAACTTCTGACTTTTTTGTCTCCCTCCCCCCAAGTGCTGGAACTTATAGGTGCACATTAGCACATCCATTTGCACAAACACCTTCTCCTTCTGTCATCAGACAAAGCCACCAGGGTTGGGAGAGCATACATCCACGAATGGAACTTTCCTGCCTGTATGGAATGTTCCCACAGAGATGGGACTGGGAGGGAGAACTTGGCAAACAGAGGCGCGTTTATGATCCCGGTGCCTGGCTCTGAAACCAAACCATGACCACTCATCAGTAATTTCTCGTCATCCATGGTGAGGTTCTGACTCTAAACTACTCTGTGCTTACAACTTTAATAATGATAATAACTCAGAGGTTCCATTTGCTAGGCCGCATTCCAAACAGTGGAGAAGGAGCTTTCCTTCGTGTCGTCGGTTGACACCGCCGTCAAAGGTAACCTGTCTATCTAAAGCCACAACCCCTTTGTCAGCCAGAATGCCCAAGACTTGCAGACAGCATTAGCTATAATCTCTCAGCGTCTGTGGGTGTCAGCGGAACCAGGTGGCGGCAGGGGTAGGGGCGGGGTGGGATGATAAAATGTTTAAATGTGGTTGATGGGGTCAATAAGAAGACTTGTTAAGATGTCCGGGGGGCGGGGGCGGGGGGAAGATGTCCGAGGGAATTTTGTTGGTGTTTTGAATATGTCTTGGAAGTTAACTTCTATACTTGACAAGTTAACATTTTAAAAAGTGAGGAATGTTTTTCTCGGGACAAGCAAGATGGCTGGCATCAGGGAGCAGGGGAGGGCACTTGAGTTCAAACCTAGGGACCCACGTGGTGAAAGGAGAAACATCATCTGCAGATTGTCCTCTGACCTCCATGCGCATGGGTTGTGCACCCATGGGCTGTGTACCCGTGGGCTGTGCACGTACCTAAGCCATTCTCCATATCCTGTAAAACAATACATAGAACCTAAAAGTTAGGTGCTTGCTCAGAGTTACTTAAGTATTGAATTTATCTGTCTGTCAGTCTTTGGGATTTCTTTCTGGACATTAGCTTATCTCCATGACAAGATTCGGTTTGTTGACTACTCCCAGAACTTCACATTTCTTTTTCACAAACAGTACCTGGGTGGGTGGCCATGTGGCTCAGTGGGTATAGCGGCCCAGTGCCAAGCCCTGCTGACCTGCATTCTGTCCCTGCATCCCACGTGATGTGTTCCAGTTTGCTTTCCATTGCACTGATGAACTGCATGACCAAAAGCAACTTGGAGGAGGGTGTTTATCCGGGACAGTGCAGTCACAGTCCATCCATCACTGAGGAAATTCAGGGCAAGAACTCGGGCAGGAGAGGATGCAGAAACCATGAGGGATGCTGCTTGCTGGCTTGCTCTCCCATTCATCATCAGCTACTTTCGTTAGGCCTCCCAGGACCACCTACCCAGAGCTGGCGCCACCCACAGTCGGCAGTAGGTTCTCCCACGTGGAAAAGTCCCACAGACTTGCCTAAAGGCCAGTCTACCGGAGGGATTTTCTCAATTTTAAGTTCCTTTTTCCTCGTTGACCCTAACTTGTGTGAACTTCAAAAAAACAAACAAAACAAAACAAAACAAAAAAAACCTGCCTAACCAGTACATGGTGTAAGGAGGAACTGACTCCTGCCAAGTTGTCTCTGCTTCCACACATTCCCATGCATGTATGCACACACACACACACACACACACACACACACACACACACACGGTAAAGTAAAAACAGACCAGGTCAGCATGCTGGTTCTTAGAATCACAGCACATTCAGAAGGAAATGGGCCCCTTGTGACCGTAGTGGGATGTGGGAGAGCCAGGCTAATCCACAAACTGATCCATCACCTTGTATGCCCTCCTCATTCTAGAAAGAGAGGAAATGAGCTAATTTCATCATGTCTTAAGTAAGTGTTGGGACTAGGCACAGAGAGCCGGAGTATTAGAAAACACCTTACTTCTTTATAATGATTCTGTGTACCCCTTAGGCCATCCTTCTTCCTTCCTGCCCTGTTATCTGGATGCTTTCTTGACTCAGACCTTTCTTCTGTTTCAGAGGAGTGTGGAGGTGATGCCGATACAACTCTGAATATATAGACCTGCCAGTCAGAGGCTGCCTTTTACAAGTCACACGGTACCCAGACCAAACGTAAAGACCCCTGGAAGCTGTCCGTAAGGGGAAACTGATCTGTGATGGAAACTACAAGTGTCGGGTTGGCGAAGCAGCCGGTTCACTGTTCTTTAGAGGCATCCGGGCTTGCCTTGCAGCCTGTAGTCTTTCTTCTCAGCCAGGATAATTTATTTTGCCAAACAATTTGATAACACATTACTATATTCATAAAAATGGTATGTTTTCAATAGATTGTTTATATTCAAATAGAAAATTCTAGGTTCATGATGAGAATGGCAGGAGGCTAGCAGGCAGCCTGGCTGTTAGCCATATCTAAGAAGCACTGTTTTGATTTTGAAACTTTGTCCCATTGGTCTCCTTAATAGGTAGCTGCTTTTCTGTTTCCACTGTGTACACAAATGCACCAGGAGCTTTGAATAAAGGTTATCCTGAAAGCTGGGACGGTCTCCTTTGATTTTCTGTCTCTCCTCTGTAACAGAGGCATGGATACTTAGTTCTGATCTGGTGGTGCACACCTTTAACCCCAGCACTCGAGAGCAGAGGCAGTACCCTCTCTTGTGAAACTGAGGACAGCCAGCGATGCATAATGAGACCCTGTCAATAAAAAAGAAAGGAAGAAAGGAAGGAAAAAGAAAGAAAAGAAAATTTTTACCTGTGAGTCACGCAGCTGGTGCTTTTAAGATTCCATTTCTTTTAAGACATGTGTGTGTAGACGCTTGCCTGCACGGGCACCCATGTGCAGACCAGGATCCAGGGGCTGGAACTCAGGCCATCAAGAGTGAGGGCAGCCCCTTTCCCAGCTGAAACCTCTCCCTGGCCTCTCAGCTGGTTCCCTAAAGGCAATTCCCCATTTTCACGATGAATTCCGGGGTACAGGCTGTTCAGGTTTCACAGAGGAAAACAACTGAAGCTTTTTAGAAATTATTTGCCCGTGGCCAGTTGAAAAATGTGAAGGGCTTGACTAAAACCGGATCCATCTCATTTCCAAGCTCATACTTTGAAAACTGGTGTCCACGGGGCCGTGCAATGGAAAGCGTCCAGAGCCACACTTTTCCCCAAACACTTGAAATGTGAGCTGAGAAGGCCGTGTACTGCCCTTAAACTTTGCTCTTTACCCATGCCGTGGCTGAAAACCTTCTGGAAGAATTAAAATTGGGCAGAAGAATCTGGGGAGATGGCTCAGTTAGTTAAGAGCACTGGCTGCTCCTTCAAAGGGCACTTGGTTGGTTCCCAGTACCCACACTGCTGCCCACGAGCCTGTTAACTCCAGTCTAGGGGATCTAGTGCCCTCTTCTGGCCTCTGTGGGCACTGCATGCACATGGCGCAGGGACTTACGGGCAGGCAAAACCACTCATGTACACAAAAGTAAATCTTTTACAATTTTTTCCTTAAAGATTAGATACAAAAATATTACACACAACATGAATGGCTCTTGAGATGTGTAAAGCACTGTTCATTCCTCTGGGAAATGCCCGTGTGCTAGTTCATGTTCTAAACTGTAGCTCGTGGGATGCTTTCCAATCAATTTTCTCTTTTGAGCATCTGCACAAACCACAAACTCTATTTTAAAAAAAGATTCTTGAATAAAAATTCCTTTCAGCCACAGCACTTAGCCATATCTCAAATAAAATGGTACACCCAATGCAAACCGATAGTGTATGTCTAAAAATACTGGCCCCTGCTGTCCCACGGGAACAGCGAGAATTAAGCACCTTGAAAACGGGGCATGGTGACACAGGTCTTTACACTCAGCACTCCGGAGGCAAAGGCAGGCAGACCTGAGTTCAAAGCAAGCCCGGTCCACAGGGTGAGTTCCAGGCTAGCCGAGGCTACGCAAGGGAGACCCTGCCTTGAAAACGCAAAAGCATCTTCATCAACAACACATGGGTATTATTTCAGTAAGTGCGAATGGAGAGGGAGTTGCATTACAGAATGAGGAAGAGGCAGACTGATGGCTCGGCAGGTAAGATGCAAGAACGCAGACTGTTCTTACAGAGGACTAGAGGTCGGTTCTCAGCATCGATGTGAGACAACTTATAACTGTAACTTCAGTTCCAGGAAAGGCAGTGTCCTCTTCTGGGCTCTACCAGCACCTGCACAAGTGGCAGGCGTGTGTGTGTGCGTGCGTGCACACACAGGCATGCACGTGTGCATGTGCGCGCTCACACACAGAGGAGAGAGAGTTATTACAAATTGAAAAACATGGCTTGTTCTTAAGATAGTTTGGCTGACATAGAGAAATACTATAAATTACCAAGAGGGCGAGAAGACACATTATGGCCAGATTACAAAAGCCTTCAGTTTTGTGTTCAGGAATTTTATCTATCTACTTTACATTAATGGCTACTGGTGAGGAGATGTCTTCTGACATCCGCATGTGTGTAATGACATGTGCACCCGCAGGCAATGCGCACATGAACACCATACATGCAGCACCCCACACGCACACGCATAGCGCACATAACTTTCGCTTAGCTGTTAATCATCCATCCCAGGTTAGCTGAGAAGTTTGAACATTTCCTTTGTGCCCTTCACAGTCTTTGGGTAAACAGCTACTGTTGGGGGTGAGGGGGATTGGGATTCCTGGCCTGCCTCACACAGCCTAATACCACAGCATCTCCATTTAGTAAACAGAGACTAAAGTACTGAAAACCTAAAATACCAACTCTATTGCCCCTGCCCCCAGATATTCTAAAAACCCCACCATGTCACATCTCACCAGCAGCTGAAACGGGACAACATCACCAAGCCTGCATCAGGACAATGGCTCTAGCTGAGGTTTCTTACCTCAGCCAAAAGTCAGAGAAACGCTACCAGATTCCATGCAGACGCTACGTGGCTCAAACTCAATGCTGCTGCTCAGAACAGAAAACCAAAGACAGGATGATCTGTTTTTATTGTAAGTTTGGGAATCTTGATTTTCACCGCCATCGTCCCATCAATAGACCTTTCTGAAACAATACTAGGAAAGCAGATTCTCATTTGACACAAAGACCACCAGCTGTGGAAAATTAAGATTTAGACCGGTAATGGTTTTCATATGCTCTTCATTGTATTCTTTACGTTTACATGGGAAAAAAATCTTTGTCTAGGCATCCATCATTATTCTACAGTACAGCGTACATTAAAAAAAATGGTTATTTGGATAAATACAGTAAGGTCTCTCTATCTCTTCCATTCTCTCTCTCGTTCTCTCTCTTATTGCCACTCTGAATTTCACAAGTAGATTGTGTAGCCAGCTCTTCTAATTCTGGGCGTGTGATTCTGGAGAGTGTTGCAGAGCCAGGGACTGGGCGACGACACTCGAGGGTGGCCCGGGGATCAGATTCTTGTCATGTCCTTCCACCAGAGGGTCCCACTGATTGAAGTCTTTATGAAGTCCTATATATATATATGTATTATAACACACTGTCAAGACTCTTAAACAGTTGGGTGCCGCTAGGTGGCGCCATCAAACCACCAGTTACGGAACCATTACAGTGAGCCCAGAACACTGGGTAGCCAGGAGTTCTGTCTGGGTCACCAGGTTGCATTAGCATATGCAGAATCTCCAGAGAGGCTGAGAGAAAAGCAAGTGGCTCTCAGTGTCCCTGACATGAAAATTCACCCCACGTTCCATAGAAGGAACGTTAGGTTCAACAAGAATACATACCTATATTTATATAGATATAGATACATATATTAATGCATATATACACTAAAGATAATATACACATATTAAAGAATGCAAGGCACCATAATTCACTTTTTGAAGTATTCCTTTTTAAATTAGTTTACTGCTTTGTCTACTAAAAAAAAAACAAAAGGAAAAGCTATAATAAGACTAAGACAAGGAATGGTTTTGTCCTGAGAACCAAGCAACTTGAGTCACAGAGGAAGGCCGTCTCTTACCTAAATGCTTCTGTAGGAAAGCTAACGAGGCTTTTTCGGTGAGGTCCATGGCCACACGAGAGTCTATTTCTCCTTTTAATGTCAGCTTGTTCCCAATTATTTTGCCAGTTACAAAAGTAAAGTCGGCAAAATTCTGGTGCACTGAGCCCCTAAAAGAGAAAGATACCTATAATTCCTGTTACTTGAAAAAAAAAATTGTACAAAAGTGATTCTGGCCCAGCTAGACAATTCTCTGCAAAACAATGAAACAGAATGTGGAATCTGGTCATTTTTGATATACATGTGGGTCAAAAGATGTCCATTTAAGGATCCTGAAATACAATACCTCTTCCTGCTAGGGGGAAAAATTGTGCCCTAGTTTATATTTCTTGCTCTGATAGACACCATGACCAAAAGCAACTTGGGGAGAAATGGTTTAGCTCACTTTCAGATTATATACAGTCCTTCATTGGGGGAAGTCAAGGCAAGAACAAGGCAGGAACCCAGAGGCAGGAAATGATGGAGAGACTGTGAAGGGGAGCTGCCTACTGGCTTGTTCCCCATAGCTTGCTCAGCCTGCTTTCTTATAGAACCCAGGACCCAGTCAGGTGTGGCACGCTCCTAGGTGGGCTGGGCCCTCCCACATCAGTCATTAGAAAATGCCCCCAAAGACAAGTCCACAGGCCAGGCTGATGGAGGTAATATCTCAGTTGAGGCTCCCTCTTCCCAAATGATTCCGGTTTGTATAAAGTTGGCAAAAACTAACTGGCGCAACCTGCGTCTTAATTTTAGAAAAAATTACAGTCTTCCGTTGACCAGAAAAACTTCCGAGAAGATGGAACGTAGTATGTGTTCAAAGAGTCGTCAACTCATACAGAGCTTACCACCTACCCCTGTCCCTTAGCATAGTATTATTTAATGCCAGGCAGAACAGCGAGGATTAGAGATTTTTAGAACAGCTCCTGTATTTCATTGTAAGCAGCTTACACCACTTACACGGCGGCTCTCTAATTTACCAGCCGCAGATTGCGGCAGCCAAATCAGTCATTCCGAGGGTTTATGTCTTCATTTTCTACTCTGAAACCTCAGATACTT